GACGCAACGGTTCTCTTCGGACCGCTTTCATAAATAATTTAGGCGCCCTGTCACTCAGTTTGGAGGGCACTGATTTATATTCGCGCTATAAAAACGCGACGACCGGAAAACGTATTGCAAATTAATGCAAATTTACTTCATTTAATCTTGTACTGAAACATAATATTAATTAAAAAAAAATTGTCATCCAAAAACTTTCAGTTTCAGTATTTATAAGTCAGTATAGTTTATGTTATGTTGGATGCTTTGAGTTAGTTGAAGTTTATACCAATTTATTTCACGTCGTGAAAGACTTTTGTCATGATATCCGCGCATCAAAACGGCCATTCCACGTTAATAAGAGAAAGCAGAACGTTGAAATTGGTAATTACCATAGCTTAATGAAGACGGACACCAAAGGCAATCCAATGTCCGCATAGACAACTTAAATAACTTGTAAAAGCAATCGACGTTTGCTTTTTATTTTTGCAATTTATTTTCTGACATGTTTTCTATATCTTGCCGAGGATTGAAAGAGTCTGTTGATGGTGGACGTTAACGCTATTTTCAAGGTCCTTAAAAGCGATTTTGCGAAAGCTGTTTGCCGGCGAACGCTAATTCATTCATGAGCCTATAAATTAGAAGCCGCTAAGTAATACGATGTTCTAAATTTTTACTTTTTACGATACAACGAAAGTTGACTCTTACTCAGGCAATTTATATGCAAATCGGATCTTGTAAAATAAGCGATTGGGCCTTGTTTTCTATTAACTTAAGACCGTCCGATTGAGTGTCGTCTCGAATGGTACGGCATATGCCCAATCGTCCGATTTCAGTAGGTTAATCCTGAAATGTCTCGCAAGTGCGCGAAGTCGGCCAGCTCTCCGTTATTTACAGTGCCGCACGGGCATTAACGGCTATCTTAATTTAATAAACCAGTCATTATGACCTTATTACGGTGAGGCATGTGAAATATCGTCCGCAGAATGCATACGGATTTTTTTTTATTGTATGGGTCGTTTGTTGGCCATGGTTTACGATCGGTGTCGAAGTATAAATATATACGGACATCGAGTCCAGGCCGGTCCGGCTGTTCCTTACGGAATTTCAATTATGGTTAATGTTCGTGCAGGGATTTTAACAATGTCCGTCTCGAGTATTGAGGTTGCATGCTCCGGTTGGTCTTTATTGTCGTCGTAAGTTTGTCTTTTGCAAAACTCGACGCTAAATTATTTATAGTAGACATACGGCTGAACCTTTTTCAAAATCCGAAGCAGATATCTGCAGTATATTATTATGCGTTTCGCGCATCTACGCGACAGCCGGTCATTATTACGTCTCGAGATAACTTATACGGACGTAATGGTTCCGTATTCTGTGTTTGATGCGATCAGGATGTATAATTAAAGTCAACAAGTACACAGGGCACTGTTTTAGTGCTTGGGTCGGGACGTTTAAAACGCGTTTTCATGCTTTGCGGTTACATCCTTTCATAGAATTTACAAACATCTCAAAATGTTTCTTATGAATGTGATATAAAAACAAATCGTGCGTCTATCTCTATGTCTCTCTTTGATATATTGGAGAAAATATCTTCAATTGACCCGGCGCAAATCGCAAAAGCGACCGCATGCTGAGCAACGCGACGTAACCACATTATAAGTACACGGTTGTCCATCAGTCAATCCGTTCATCAGATTTCATCTGCACGCTTATGACGAGTATATTCAGATCTCACGTATGTCGGAGAGGAAAGTCCCATTTATCTCGGTCTCCGATGCGGTCATCGACGCTCTTTTTTGCACACTCGAGAGTTCTCGATGGAAAGTGCATACGACACGGCCATCTAACGGCTAATTTTGCCGACGAATCAATTCTCATTACGCCTCTAACGGTGACAACAAATATAGTAACTGGTAAAAGTCGCGGCTAGGGATTTAGGATGCAAATCTGCCGAGTGAAACCTCTGGAACTCGATGAAGCAAATTGGAATTTATGACACTATGGTGTGCAGAAACTTACCTCTGAAGCATGTTTACCATTTTATATCTCACAGAAGTTACAGCCGAAAAGAAATTGCCGAACTGATACGCGTCTATGACATACGATACGGAAACGAACGTTGCCAGTAGAAAGCTTGGATAATAAAATTCATGACTAATTGTAAGCAGATGTCACACCGCTATATAAGTTTTATCGTCTGATATGCATTTTTGCATTCGCCACATTTCACTTAATCGTCCTCATCGTAAAGATAAAAGAAATATTGTGTTCAGTTGTGGTCAATTAAGCGAATATACGATCAGTAAGAAAGCAGATTGTTTTAATTTATAATATAAACGAGAAAAACAAAATTAGCATATCTCTTGAATCTTACTAATATATACAGTATCCGATAAAAAGTCAGAATCACCTCCGTTTTTGAAATTGGTCGCCACGTCTCGACACACCCGCTTCCGGCTGAGGCATCACAATATGAAAAGGTTTTGCTTCAGGTTGATGTAATATTAGTGCGAAGGCTTTCACGGCCGGTGTGAATTAAACTAATATTAGAACTAAAACTAGAACTAACACTAGAAACTTTCGGGTTTTGCCGTGCGTCTTTTAATAAAAGGTTTGACGTTTCGGATGCCATGCCAAAAAAAAAATCGGTAACTATATATAAGTCGGAAAAAAACTAATTAATAATCAGTTAACGCTAATTACAAACTAACTAATAACTAATTGCGTCGCGTCCGGTGTGAGGCGGGAAGAGGCCTTCGTGTTCACCACCATCTTCCATGTTCTGCTAAGCTCCCAGCCATCCTCTCTGTTGACGTTATTTTTATGTTGGTGAATCTCTATGGCTTCTCTTGTCAGTCTTTGGTAGTATCTGTTGTCCCTAGCCAGCACCTTTGTTTGTTCGAAGTCTATTCGGTGCCCCTCTGCATGGCAATGTTCCGCAACCGCCGACTGCTGGATCTTCTTCAGCCTTACATCCCTCTCATGCTCCTTGATGCGGCACTCGACGTTGCGTCCAGTTTGGCCAACATAAACCTTCCCACAACTACACGATAGTCGATAGACTCCCGCTCCTTTTAATGGAGTTAGTTTGTCCTTGGCTATCGGGAGTGTGTTCCGAATTTTGCTGACCGTGCCGTACCGCACTACGATGTCGTTCTTCTTGAGGTGCCTAGCAATTCGTTCCGTTACACCTGAAACATAGGGAAGACAGATAAATCCAAGTGGTTTTGTACTTACCGTGTCCTCTTTCTGCTTTCGCTGCTTGATGGCCTGGTTGATGTCCCTCGAAGTGTATCCATTCTTCTGCAGCACGCCTCGTAGAAAGTGTTGCTCCTTCTTCAAGTTCTCTCCTTCACATAGTCTCGCTGCTCGCTGAAATAATGTACGGATCACGGACCTCTTCTGTTGGGGATGATGATGTGAACATGCCTGTAAATACCTGTTGGTATGGGTCTTCTTTCGGTATACACCAAGTTCTATATCTCCATTTGTCGTCCTGGTGACCAACACATCTAGGAAAGGTAGTTTTTTGGCAGTTTCTGTTTCCATGGTGAACTTAATCATAGGATGTTGAGAGTTCAAGTGATCCAAGAACTCTTGGAGCCGTTTTTGACCATGTTGCCATATCACAAACGTGTCATCCACATATCGGAGCCATAGTTTTGGTTTCCACTGGCTCTTCTTCAAAGCGTCCTCTTCGAATAATTCCATGTAGAAATTAGCTATAACTGGCGATAGTGGAGATCCCATGGCTGCCCCTTCGAACTGCTCGTAAAATTCTCCTTTCCAGCTGAAATACGTCGACGATAAGCAATACTCCACCAGATCTGGCACGTATCCTGGTAAACCCTCCGGAATGAGTTTTCGGCGAAGACCCTCTACAGCATCCTTAACTGGTACCCTAGTAAAAAGGGATTCCACATCGAAACTTACCAACATATCCCCAGCATCCAGCTTTACACCTTTTACCGATTCCACAAAATGTGTAGAATCCCTGACATACGATTCCGTGTTACCTGTAAAGGGGGACAGAATCTTTGCAAGATGTTTAGCCAGCTGGTATGTTGGGGAGTTGATGGCGCTGACGATAGGGCGGAGGGGGACGTCTGGTTTGTGAATCTTCGGTAGTCCGTAGATTCTTGGTGGTACCGGCGCCTGCACAAACAAACCTTTCTGCTGTTCTGCTGGAATTCCTGTGGATTTTATCAGTTCCTTCATTTTTCTAACGATTTTGTCTGTGGGGTCCTTCTTGATCTTCCTGTAGGTGGCTGGGTCCAGTAAGTTCATCATTTTGTCGTCGTATTCTTTCCTGTCCATAACAACGGTGGCATTCCCCTTGTCTGCTGGTAACACGACGATTTCTGATTTTTCTTTTATAGATCGGAGTGCCTTCTTTTCACCAACCGTCAAGTTGGATTTTGGTGGTTTTGCTGACTTCAATACTCTCGCAACTTCTTGTCGGATCTCTTCGGCTTTCAGTGCAGGCATCCCTCGAACAGCTGCTTCCATTTCGCAGATGATTTCCTCCTTTGGGACCTTCTTCGGGGCGATTGCGTAGTTCAATCCTTTGGCGAGCACAGAGATGATGTAATATTGTTGCTGACATTTTAGTGGTCACTGTATATAATAAGATTGAATTAAACAAATCGATCAAAATACGCGAATAGATTCTATAATTATTTATTATCACAATTTACATAAGAATATTATAAATTTATTCATGACATGTTAATGTATAGTGGTAGGGTATCTAAATTATAACAAATCTGACGGTGGTAGAAAAGGTTAACTTTAAATCCTATAATTAACGACCAATCTTAATTAACGCACAATCAATCGTATTGCAAAACCTATTTCGAGCGCCCGGAAAAGTTCTGTAAACACTAATTATCGAAGGACACGGCTGTGTAATTTGCGATTACGGTTTCCAATTTGTTATTCCTGGTGATTTATTATCGCATTGCAAAACGAATAATTTATAGTTTTTTTAAAATAAGTAATTAATTTTTTTCTTTCAGGTAAGCAGACGAAATAATACGAAAACGAAACTAATTTAGGACTTATAAATGGTAAGATTCGTTTCAGTTATCAATTTTTTAATTAATTCATTTAGCATTATAAAACGAACCTTAATGGCATGTATTATAATAACGCTAGATAGGTCTAATACAATGGGTACATATTTTTAAGTGCCTCGAGTTGTAAGTAAACGATAGTTTGTTAAACCCGACCCACACAGACTTCTCGTATATGGAATATCAACCAACGCACGGTTCTCTATAAATTTTTCGCAGTTTATTTTCATTCATTCTCTTCCGTCTGCGGCGTGAGATGTTGCTAAGTACGTACGTCCTGCCGAAGGTGAACAATGTAAGCGAATTAACGTCAAATGTGATTTACATTGGACCTTTCTTTACGTGTCGTTCCCTTTATAACTTTGCACCTTAGCAATATTTTGTGTCGGTGTCTTATGTAAATTGAGGTGATCTCATAGTATTACTCACATTTCGATCTAAATTACCTTTTAATCCATCTGTATGTGAGTTCAGGTAAAATCCAATATCTCGCATAAGAAATTCATATAAGTCGAGCTTAACTACCAACAGTTGCTCTTGAATGGCACACAATTTATCATAATTGACTTCCAGAAACTTTTGAATGCCATTGAATAGACGAGCTAAAATTGGTTGGATGGAAGATGTTTTCTTGAGATAAACCAAGGCTTATTCAATATTTCTGATATTTGCTTCTTACAAAGAAGTTTAATCTAGTTTCGCCGGTCGGATTTATCGTTACGTTATGTCGTTACATCACTACTAGAGTAGAGAGTATTCATTCCGCGACTGCTTTATTATCCTTCGGATCAATTCGAAACGCTTTCTTTATTTTTACTTTTTTTTTGGTCGATAATCAATAATTCTTGTTTAAATACAAAGTTAGATCTATCGTTGAGGCGTCGCGCAAAGCACATGTTTTTACCGGAGCCAGTAGTGTTCTTAGCTAACGCGTGGGCTATGTTACATAAAATAGCCTCGTCCGTGGTTAAGAACAGGTAGAACACGTTGGGTTATTTATGGAGGGCCGTTAGCGCCGCAGTGTGAACAAGCCCTGAAGCATTTTTTCTGTTGATTTTAGTTGTAATTTGGGGTTTAGTGTTGGCGCTAAAAGGCGTTTAGGACGCGTTAATTTATGTAAGCAGGACTTCTCTTTAAGAGTACCATTCTAAAGTAACTGCTATGTCTATTGGCGATGACTATGGTAAGGTTTTTTGGTTTACATCCAATGTTAGTAGGAACCCTATAAATGTTAAAGAATCTTAATGCACGATCTTATACCTTTTTTTTAATAACACTTGACTTTTTATGGGCACATTTCCCTTTTGATCTTCTTATTAAAGTATGTGGGTCTAAGTAGTGTTAAATCTTGTCTAATAAAACTTAATTATCCGATGTGAACTTATTAATGCTGTTAAGATTATTTCATTTCTATTAAAGTCTTGAATAATGTGGTAATAATGTGAACCAACTATAAACTAGGTAATAGTAAACAAAAGGTTCTTATTTACTTATACTTTACATGTTTGAACAGTAAAATATTTATCATCTTGTTAGATCTTATTTGTTGATTTTTGTATTGTCTGCAAATGAATCTTGAACTAAAAAGTTGCAAACTTAGGTTATGTTAGAACATCACAAAAAAATAGGAGACTTCAAAAAATCACCCTGGACACCACCTATATATTAAATAAACTAATAATACAATAAAATCTCTATACTTTCTCCATAGAAATCACCATTATCATCTAATGCACCTAAATATAAACTTATAAATATGTAACGTTTCATTAATTCTTAATATTTATTAATTAAGCGTTTAAAGAAGTTGTTGAACTCAACTTCTGGTGTGGTAGAAACGACCACACCTCCCCTGATAAAACTTTGTCTTCCTGAAAGCTATCTTAACCACGTTTTCTTGGGCGGTTTCCATTCGACGTTGAGCCAAACCCGTAAGTCGACACACCTTTTAGACTTACATTATTGCAGAATGAAAATATTCAAAGTTTATACAAATTATTTAATAATAATTAACGATCTTAAAGAAAAACTCGATTTGAATTAATGTTTCTTAAGAAATGGCAACCTTTTCGTTTCAATCGTTTTTCCTTTTATCCTTACGGGGCGACTTAATTAATATTTATTAATTTTGTAAACTTAGCCAGGAAATGATGAATCGGCAAATGTAATTACTTAATAGAGACTGCCGGTTATTAATTAAAATTAATTAGAAAGTCGTATTAGATCGATCGTATGTGCTTATATTCCATCTTGTACCATTAAAATTAGAAACCATAAAATTCAATGCGAAGAAATTTTAAGAGATGCTATAAAGATATATTGTTGAATTGTAATTTAATTCTAATGATACGCCAAGTCCTAACCCTAAGTTATTCCATTTAAGGTAGATTAGCTTAAAGATAGATATTAAGTTCAATCTAATTTCAGCTTCTTGCATTTATCTGAGATTAACTGGAAGATGAGCTTGATATAACTCTTATAGTTTTTCTGATAATATATCATTTTATATATTATGTATAATAATAATACTTCCTGGTGTCCTCATTTTGGTTTGTGTTATAAGGACGCCTACTTCGAGAACTATAATTACCACTGTCATCTGTTGATAAGAAGATTGTTGAGCAGAGAGACAACGTGTAGGAGAGAATGGAAAAGGTATAATCTGCTTAATTTCTCGGGCGCGGTAGCGCCAGAGGTAACGGAAGTCAAATTCGGTCGTTTTCGTTCACAAAAAGTAAGAAGAACGAAGACAAAAAGTGGCCGTCATAAATAACTGTCGATTCGAGTACCACCGGCTAAGTAATTATTCATGTTTGCGATTACATAGAGATGTTGTACACGCGGGATCGTCATCGTAAGTCATAATTATTTATGGAGATCTTAGATAAGTGTCCGAGAAGAATGATGTGGTTTGCCCGGAGATTGATTGTTATGCGATGTTAATGTAAATAGCTGGAAAGGGATTTTGTTTTTACCATTGGGAGATTTATAATAGTGAATGGTCAGTCAAGTTCAATCAGCGTTAGGTATACAAAGAGAGTGGAAAAGGAATGCCCGCGATCGTCGCAACTAAATTTATTGTCGAGTACACTTCTACACCATATAGGTGTGAATTATGAAAACGAGAAAAACATCAACCTAGTTGAAAGACTTTGAAATTGACAAACTCATCACTTTACAACTTACAATTAGTGAACTGAATCCCAATAGTGCGTATAAAAAAGACGTATTTACGATCATTCTAAGAAATTTCTCTTAAACCTTAACAACGAGCGCCTAAACGCCATAAAACTGACACGGGTTGCTGTATATTATAATAAACGTGCTAACTTAATGACCCAAGAAACGAACCTCGACACCGGCTATATGTTTGACGGTTTCTATTAAGCGAATTAAAATGCATACTCTAAAACGCACGATTGCACACACCAACTTAAACCAAACCAAACACATCAAATCGACTTTCGAATTTGGTGAAATTTGTGTAAATCAAAACTCTCATATCAACATAAAAACTGTTTCATTTAAATTTCCAAATCTTTTTAATAAGTTGGAATAAATAATGAGCTTGTTACATAAAATCTTTGAAGTCGTTTAAGTCAATTTACGAGATAGAGTCATCTTTCGAATTTTTTTTTCTTAATAATCGTGACTTGACTTTCACTACGGTCATCATCACACGTTGGAAACGACATGTTATTTTCTCAAACGATGCTATATTATTTTGGCAGTAACCATATTGATTACCGATCTTCTCACATTATCAAGTTAGTAATTGCGAAAAGAGAGAGGTTTCCTTGTTATCATAAGACGAAAGTGACCAATTATACAACAATAAAATGAAAATTGTTTTTTGTTGCTTATAAAATTTATATCTTCTTCGTAATTGATTAAATTAAAAGAAAGTTGGTTTCTTTTTCGTAATGAAAAGTATTAAATTTTAATACTTTATACTACTATTAAATTGTATAAATTTAAATTCATTATACATTTGACATAGATACTAACGTTGAGATTAACATCAATTTATTGTTTGTTATTTTTATTATACAACATAGAGAAGACTTTTTTAGCTGATAAAACTTTCTTTTTTGAGGCATTTTTACTATGTCAAATTCATTGCACTGGCCTAAACTCAACTTTCTCATAATTTTGATGTAGCACAATAAAATAACAGAAAATATCTTTGTATCTTTCATAATTATCTTTTTCTTATTGTACCAAAATCGTCAGCTTGAGAAGATTCCTAGCCTGCAAGCGACCTCTGAAGATTCTATAAATTGCATCTTATTAAACCGCTATCCGAGTTTTATTAAGGACCCATCTATGACATGTTCTTCCGGGAAGTCTTCATTAGAAACCGTTTCATTATCTACAAAATGAAGCAAATGTGTTATAGACAAAAAACGTCTACGAGGCATAATTAATAAGCGAAAAGATCGGTGTTTGTAATATTTTTACCCGTGTGAAGTTACCCATAAATTCTATCCATAAAAAAAACTTTTTTGTTTGTGTATCGATTTTAATGATTAATAGCTCATTAGAAAGATCTCGTAGAGTAGAGCCTAACATAGTTTTGGCGGCGCAGATTTTAGGCGGAAACACCTTAAATTCCGAGAAAAACAGTAAAATATATAAGAAAATTCTCTAACTTTAGTGTGCCAAAAATTGAAAACTAATAAACTAATATGAGGTATGATTACCAAATCAGAACGCGTATAGTGTCTTCTACACAAAAGTGAATTTTGGTCGTCGCTAAATCATATGGGTATTTAGAAAAGTGCAACAAAACACGAACCTGTTTCCAGACGTACGTGGCGCCAGGCGGTTTTTTGAAAAGCAAAATCATTCATAACTATAATTTATTTGTTAATGGTCCGATTTAAGTGTGTGATATCTTTTTGGAAAGGGCTCGTTCTGTATATCATATCATAGTAATGGCGGCGCGAAATTCTAACAATAACGGTAATTAAACGAGTAAAAACGTTATAAAC